TAGACCAGGCTTGCCTGGAACTCGCTGTGTAGACCAGGCTGGTCTGGAACTTACGGAGATCCGCTTGCTGCTACCTCTCGTCACTGGGATTGAAGTTGTAAACCTCCACTCTTGGCATATATAGTATGGTTTTTAGTGTAACCTGAGTTCAGTTCACAATTTCAGTAAGTTTAACTAACGCATGTAATAGTTGTGTCTAATTTTATCAGTTGACCCCCAATGTCCTTTATAGCATAATTTCCTATTACATATCCAGCCTAGGATTGTACAGATAGTTAGTTGTCATGTCTTTTTAGTCTTCTTTAATTTGGGACAGTTTCTTTTTTGTTATTTTTTAAAGTGATGTTGACATTTTCACATTTAAAATTTGAGAACAAATTCATTCATGTGCTAGAAAATTTTTTATTATTTCTTGGTTCTATAGGAAAGACTGTTGGAAGATTAAAAGAAATACCAAGGTCAGAGTTGATGTTCTAACACGTTAAAACTTTCTGTGCCCTCAAACAAACACAGGCCTTTGCAAACTCTGTAAGCATTTGCAAAAAATATGGCAGACTGAACTTTAATGCTCAAGTTCTTTTAAGACAGTAAAAAAGCACCAACAGCCTAAAAAAGCAGAGGGCTTGGCATTGCTTGAGGGGGCTGTAACGGGAAACAGACAGCTCTGAGGTATCCAGTCCACGCACATCCAAACATGAGCTCGTTCACAATCCACGGCTTAATTCTGTTACCGAGAGCTAGCCAGAATGAGGGCAGAGGTGGGGGGACAGGGAATGTGCCCACATACTGCTGCACTGTATGGATGAAAATGTCAGGAGAGTTTAGGAAGCACCCATCAAAGCTTAAAATAGCAACGCCCCAGCAAGGCTTGGCAGGATGGTAAATTTGAGGTCAGCTAGAGCTCCACAGTACACAGTGAAACAGCCTAAAAAGAGCTGTGCATGGTGGCGCATGCTTGCAGTCCCCGCACTTAGGCACTTAGGAGGCACAGGTTGGAGTGCCACAAGCCTGAGGCCACTTGGCCAGGCTGGTCCGCAGCAAGTTCTAGGACAGCCAGGGGTACGTAGTGAGACTGTCTCAAGAAAATCAAACAATCAACAGTCCCCTTAAAAAAGGGCGTGGTGGCACATGCCTGTAGTCCCAGCACTTGGGAGGCAGAGGCAGGTGGATCTCTGTGAGTTCAAGGCCAACCCTGGTCTACATAGTGAGTTCCAGGACAGCTGGGGCTACAGGGAGACCCTGTCTCAAAAAAACCAAAAAAAAAAAAAAAAAAAAAGGATTTTATTAAATTGTTACTTTGAAGAGTATATTATAGTTTGCATCAATGTAAAACTACCTGTTTATAAACAAAAAGTTAATGTTCAAGCACCTAAAAAAAACTACATAAATATAAATTTTGAAAAACTTATTTTGAATTTGACTATAATATGTGGCTGTATCACTTTCTAAAACATGCTCAGGACTTGAAGTAGGGAGAGTGTTTACCAGGTCACTGTTTTAAGACTGTGTTTAATCTTCCTTGAGGTCAGTTGGAAACCTTTGGGGGACAGGCCTCATTTTGGAGATGATAACTAGGCCAAAATTTTTATGTCAGTTATTGCAGAAATAGCATAAAGTTTGGTCGCACAGGCTGGCTCTGTACTCAGCACCCTCCTGCCTCAGCCTCCTGAGTGCTAGGGCTACAGGTCTGTGCCTCTCAGTTTTCTCCCTCACCTAGTTCCCATCACCAGCTAGCCTTTGTTCAAGCATGTCTTCCTGGAACCTCCCCATCCCAAGCACAGAAGGCTCCCACCCTCCTGGCACACCAGACTCAGGCCAGTGTCACAGCCATCCTGAAAAGGCAGCCAGGCCTGTCTCTGCCAAGAGGCCTGTCATTCATTCATCGGTCCTTCCTTCTCCATGTCCACCACTGCATTCAGTTGCTCCCTCACCTGCTTGCAGAGTCTCTTGCATTGCCCCTTAGTGGCGGTTAGGACCCCAAGCCCCAGACTGCCCTCTTTGCTGTTAGGATCATCCAAGCACCACTTTGTTCAGACAACTACATCTCGATCAGACCTAAAGACTGTCCCTAGTCTCTCCTTGCTGTGATAAAATACACTGCCAAAAACAACTTAAGAGGGGAATGGGCTTATTTTGGCTTACACTTTCAGAGGGGTACAGTCCATCATGGTGGGAAGACATGGCAGTGGATGGGAAGGGCAGGGCACCTGGAGCAGAAGGCTGGCTTGTCACCTTGCAGACCCTCTCAGGAAGCAGATCATGAACAGGAAGTGGGGCCGGGCTGTAGAGCCTCAAGGTCCGCCCCCAGGACCCACTTCCTTCAATGGGTTCCATCTCCTAAAGGCTGCACACTTTCTCAAACAGCACCAACAACTGGGGACCAAGTGTTCAAACACATGAGCTGCTCCATGTTCCACATTCAAACCACAACACTGCTCTTCCTCTTTGGGATGCTGGCCAGTGTGAGGCTCACTCTAGGCTTCAGGTACCCAGCCAGCCTGACCCACACCTGTATTCAGGTGTCTCCCTCTAACTGCAAAGCAAAACTGTTCATCCACAGCAGCAGCAGACCTCAGGGCAGGGGCCGGGGCACTGCTGAATCTCTCCTTTTTTTTGTAATTCAGTTTTTAAAAGTTAGCTGGGTGTGGTGGTACTGGGAGATAAGTGTCCGCTATCACATATGGCTAATCACATGGTTAATCTGTTCACTTTCAATTTGATAATGTGATGGTACTGTGGTGATGTTTAGGATGGGTTTAGGCATGCCAACTAGATTTATTCAGGCAGGGAGATCATAAAAATTCTTTAGTCCCTGTAGTTTTTATTACTATGTATGTATGTATGTATGTATGTAAGTATGTATGTGTGTATTTGTATACCACAGCCCACTTGGCAGAGTTCAGAGGGTAACCTTGGAGTTTTCTCTCCTTCCACTACGTAGGACTTGGAGACAGAACTCAGGTTGTCTGTTTGACAGCAGGTGCCTTTACTCACTGGGTTGTCTCACTGGCCCGTGGCCTATGTAAATTTTTCCTTTTTTGGAGACACCGTCTTTACTATGTAGCCCTGGCTGCCTTGGAACTCGCTCTATAGACTTGGCTGGCCTGGAACTCAACAGAGATCCACCTGCCTCTGGAAAAATTGATCATTATTTTGCGTGTTTATGTTGTGTGTGGGAGTGCGTGCCATGGTGTGTGGGGTGGAGGTTAGGGGCAACTTTCCGGAGTTGGTTCTCCCCGTCCACCTTTAATGTGGGTTCCGGAGATTGAACTCAGGTCATCAGGCTGGTGGCACGCGCCTTGACCCCCTAAGCTGTCTCACTAGCCCCCAATTCTTTATTTATTATTTGTATACTTTATTTCCTGACCCATTCCTACTGTTGTACAGGGAGGCTGGTGTCAATACCGTAGCTGTCTCGTAAGTTTAAGTAGATTCTGTGAGAAGACATCTCTAAGGCGGTATCCAGAAATTTCTTCTTTAGATTTGGTCTGTACCCTAACAGCTGAGGGGCAAGTCCCCTCTTGAGAGAACCTTCTATTTAATTTTATTTATTATTTTTATTTTTATTTTTTGGGGGGTCTTTTTGAGACAGGGTCTCCCTGTAGCCCAAGCTGTCCTGGAACTCACAGAGATCCACCTGCCTCTGCCTCCCGATTAAAGGTGTGCGCCACCATGCCCGGCTATTTATTATTTTTAAATTAAATTAAATCGGGGCTGGAGAAATGGCTCAGTGGTTAAGAGCACTGACTGCTCTTGCAGAGGACCCGGGTTCAGTTCCCAGCACCCACATGGCAGCTATGAACTGTCCTTAACTCCAGTTTCAGGGGAATCCAAAGCCCTCTTCTGACCTCTGCAGCATTGCACGGCACGGGTGCACTCACATACATGCAGGAAATACACTCATACACATAAAATAAAAATAATAAATTGGAAAACAAATGATTACTACTTTTTTTTTTGCTCTTTTTGAGACAGGGTCTTCTCTAGCCCCAGCTGACCTGGAACTCACCATGTAGACCAGGCTGGCCCTGAACTCACAGAGATCCGCCTGCCTCTGCCTCCCTAGTGCTGGGGTTAAAGGCGTGCGCCACCACACCCATCTTAAATTATTAGTACCTTTAATTTTTAAATTTTTTGAGAATTTCATATATGAGTTGTCTTTGTATTATTTCCATCCCTCCCAGTCCCCGACCAGCTCCTCCCACACACCCCACTCCCTCTCAATTTCTTGTCTTCTTTGATTATTATTGCCCCTCTCTCTGTCTTTGTCTGTCTGTCTGTCTCTCTCTCTCACACACACACACAGACACACGTACATATATGACATATATAGTGCACTGAGTCCATTTAGTGGTGCTCGTGTGTACAGTGGTGCTGTATTTAGGGCTGTCCATTTGGGACTGGATAACCTCTCAAGGAACTAGTCCCTGGAGAAAACCGATTCTCTCTCTGTCAGCATCCATTGACTACCTGTAGCTCTTCATCTTGAGGTGGGTGCTCACTGTGTAACGCTGGATGGCCTGGAACTCATTGTGTAGACCAGGCTGTCTTCAAACTCAAGAAATTGCCTGCCTTCCCTTCCCAAGTGCTGGGATTAAACGTGTGCTGCCATTCCAGGTTATATACGTATTTGTTTGTATGACATATGTGTGCCTGCAGGTGTGTATGTGCCATAGTGCATGTAAGGAGGTCAGAGGACAACTTTCAGGATTGTGTTCTCTCCTTCTATTGTGGGTTCTAGGACTCAGGTTGTCAGGTCTCTAGCACCTCACTTGTTGAATGTGTTGTGGCCCCGCTGTTTTTTGTTCATTTACTTATTTCTATTCAGGATCTTGCTATGTAGTGTATGCTAGCCTGGAGTTGTGATCTGCCTATCTCAGCCTCCCAAATGTTGGGTTTACAGGTGTGTGCTACCATGCTTGGGGGATAGCTTTCTGTTTTACAGTGGAGGAATGCTTGTGGTTTTCTTACACACCCCATTCCTTTGGTCTCACTTTAAGCCGCTCACGTGTCCCACCTGGAGAATGTGTCAGAGGAAGAAATGAACAGACTGCTGGGCATTGTGTTGGATGTGGAATATCTCTTCACCTGCGTCCACAAAGAAGAAGATGCAGATACCAAGCAAGTCTATTTCTATCTGTTCAAGGTGAGATTTTAACATTGATTTTTACTACATTCATGTGTGAATGTATGTGTGCACATGCATGTGCACTAGTGCATGCCAAGGTATGCATGTGTCTAGGCTGTGCACCGAGAGGCCGATGGTGTAGACACTGCAGGGAGACCATTGAAGTGCAGCAGATGGGGGAGGTGTTGGTAGAGGGAAGGAGGGATGACTTCCTGACTGTCCCGTCTTGCTGACACTAGTTGCTGATGTTGGGTGTTGCCACCACTCCTCAGAACTATGGTTTCCGGGTCCACACTCAGCTCCACTCTGGAACTTTCCCTTCTCACTCTGTATCTGAACACAGGTGTGGAGAAGGGACAGCAAACTGCAGGTTGCCAAAACCAGATTCCTAATGGAGGCGACAGAAGGACAGTTAAAACCGGAATCCTGCTGCCCAGGGCCCTGCAGATGGCTTCGGGTTGTGCAATCCTTGTAGAAATGTTAGGAACAAAACGAAACAGAAGGCGGCCAGGAAAATTGTGATTTCTCTTCTTCCCTCGCTTTCTTTTTCTTTCTTTTTGGTTTTTGGTCTTTTTGAGACAGGGTCTCCCTGTAGTCCCGGCTGGCCTAGAACTCACTATGTAGACCAGGCTGGCCTTGAACTCACAGAGATCCACCTGCCTCTGCCTCCCAAGTGCTGGGACTAACAGCATGCGCCACCACGCCCAGCTCTTTTGTTGTTGTTTTTCTTTTAGATTTTGCTGTCTTATATTTATTTTGAAATAGAGTCTCTCAGTGTTTCCTGGGCAGACTTTGAACTCTGGATCTTCTTGCCATAATCACTCCAGTGCTGGGGTTACCAGCACGTGCCACCATGCCTGGCTACTTAAATAAATCATTATGAAACCAGACCCCCCAGCCCCACCTCTGTCCTTACTCCCTCCCTTTCCTTCTCTCTGTGGTGCTGGGGTCAAATCTAAGGTACAGACTAGGAATCTGTGTTACCACTTAGCTACACCCCCAGCTCATAAAAGCGTTCCTCTTTTATTTTTAATGTTATTATTTTTATTATTTTTAATTTTATGTGTATGAGTGTATTGCCTGCATGTGTGTAAATGCACTGTATTGTGCAATGCCTGTGGAGGTCAGAAGAGAGTGTTGGATCCCCTGGAATTGGAGTTAGGGACCGCTGTTAGCCACCATGTAGGTGCTGGGTCCTCTGCAAGAGCAGACAGTGCTCTTAACCGCTGAGCCATCCGATCCAGTCTGATCTTTAAATTAAAAAAAAATTCTATCATCAATCTCTCATCCATCGCTCTATCGTCTGTCTGTCTGTCTATCCATCCATCCATCCATCCATCCATATATCCATCCATCCATATATCATCTATCTAATCTATCTCTATTATCTATCTCTCTTTATCACCTATCTATATCTATATATCTATCATCCATCATCTCTCTCTCATCTATCTCTATCATTATCTATCTATCTATCTATCTATCTATCTATCTATCTATCTATCTATCTAATCTTTCATCTATCTATCTATCTAATCTATCTCTATCATCTATCTCTCTATAACCTATCTATATATCTATCATCCATCATCTATCTAT